CCAGTGTCCTAGTGATGGGGACGCTATACAGTACTATAAAAAGGCACATCCTGACTCTCTGTGGTCGTTACAAATCCCAGGGTGTTTCTCAAAAAGTGTAGAGGTGTTACTCTAGTATCCTAGACCAATTTCACATTGCCCTGTACCAATAATTTCTTCCTACTAATTCCTATCTACAGTATCAATTGGCTTCATCACTCATCATTCTCCTCCTCACTGATAGCTAATGTGCGGTGAGTGTACTAGCACATTGCACCATCCAGGTGAGTGCTGCAAATTGGTGGTGGAGGGGAGTCCCCATTACCTGTAAAGAGCCTTGATTGGAGTGTCCAGAACAACACTAAATAAGTGTAAGGAATCATCATCATCATTATTATTATTATTATTATTATTATTATTATTATTATTATTATTATTATTATTATCATCATTATCATCATCACAATGCTGTGTGTGTAGTGGACAGAGGTCTAGTGGAAATACCAAATTCTTACATGTGCAATCTAAAGTGCATTCAGTCTAAAAGTCCAGATTTTAATGGAACACATATACTCAATGGACTCTTGAGTGCCAAGATTAATCTATCATGTTTGTTTGACACTACTTTGTTTGCCTGCATTTGCTGGGAAGAGGCTTTTATTAGCTTTCTCACAGAAATCATGGAGTCAGATGCTGTGATTCATGTGAAGAAATCAACCCTAGTTTTGTCTTGCAGTGCTTGTAAATAATTCTAAATTCTATGAAAACTGTTAAAGTAATGATCACATGAGAAGTATAGACTTAGAGATAAAGCAGTGGGAAATATTTTTTTCCTCTTACCCACAGACTATATTGAGGAAAGAGTTTTTATTGACCAAGTGTCGGTGAATCTGCTTTAGGGAACAAGTATATCATAGGAGTACAGAGCTTAGGCTTTCTCTCCTAGGTGAAAGGTTACATCTCTTGCAGTAGTTTCCATATAAAATATAGAATTGTCAAAAGCCGCATTCATTGTTCTCATAAAATAGAGTACAGTGAATGCTGTATAAGTGTAAAACTTTATCTGATGACTTATTTATTATGTTAGTAAAAATGTGTTATTAATACATGCATGGGAGTTTCCTAATGTCATTCAGGAAATTGCTGGAGAAAGTCCCAAGATCATAAATTTGCTAAGTAATCAAGACATTAATCACCTAATCTAATTAATACTCCTCTCATTTGAAACTTTGAGTATGCTCTTTTGAGTTCTGGCCTTGCCTTACTAATGTTTTTTCAGTACATATTATTGTATCTTTCAAGGAAACCGTTCTGCCAAGCATTCATGGTAAGGCAGTTGCTACTTCAGCTTTCCTTTTTTCTGTTAGTGTTTATAAAATATAGTGAATGCATTTTGGTGCAAGTAATTCTTAGTTTTTTATAATAAATGAGCAAACAAAACTGCAAGTGGTACCAACATAGAAGTGAATAAATGCTTAAGGGTAACAGAGAAAAGGGAGGAATCCAATGTCTTATGTGCAGCTAAATAGTGCAATGGTTAGAATGGCTGCTTTACATCACTGGGGCCCTGGGTTCAATTTTCTGGTGCTATCTGGGTAGAACTTGTATGTTCTTATGGGTTTCCTTTGGGTGCTCTGTTTTCGTCCAACAGTCCAAAGACATACTGGTAAATTTATTGGCTTCTGGAAAACTTGGCTGTGTGTGTGTGTGTGTGTGTGTGTTTTTGCCTGTGTCTGCCCTGCGATGGACTGGTGTCCTGTTCAGGGTGTATGTTGCCTTGCACCCACTGCTTGGCTATGCTCCGGCTCCCTTGCGACAGTGTATTAGATAAAGTTGTTAGAAAAGATTTGGATGGATGGACAATGTCTCATTAAAAGTGGTTACTGTCATTTTAGTTCTGCATTCAAGTGTCTAAGCACATGAATCACATGAATCATATTTAAATATTGGCCGAAGTCTGAATAAATGTTTCTGTTCAAACTTTACACAACAGATTTCCAATTCAAAAAGACAATAAATGTTATTCACCTTTGTTAAGAGTAAATCAGTATGGTGTTAGAGGAGAAGAGACACAGATGAGTAATCAAGAGGAGAAGAGATATTTGCAAAAACAAACTGTTTATGATAAGCTGGAATGGTGGTCTGATCTGCAGTCTCACAGCTCTTGGGTCACAAGCTCAATTTCTGGACAGCAGTGTTTTCTGTGTGGAGTTTGCATGTTCTCACCATGCAAATGGATTTTCTCTGGGTGCTCTCCTTTCCTTCCACTATCCATCTCATCACATTGCTATCACTAATTTATCCTGTGTTTGTGACCTGCAATAGACTAGCATCCCATTCATTGTGCCCAGTGTCTGGATCCATGTGACCCTGTACTGGACCAAGATGTTATTGAATATCCATGGATGCTTACAATAAATTAAAAACACATTTTTTTAGGGGTTTAATATGAGTATTTCAGTAAATGTTTCTTGATTGTGGTTTTGACAAATGCAAAAAATATACCGACAGGTCTTGCACACCATGTATTCTCCATGTAACAACCTCTCATAGGAATAGCTCATATTTGCTTGGGTGAGGAAAAATCATATGTACCACATACTGTATTGTACAGTATAAACTGAAATAATAGATTATTCTAAATCTAAACTGATAAGTCAGGTTTGAGTTCACAGAGTTATAACTGAAGCGTAATTGGCTCTGACGCCTCTGTCAGGAGGACTACGTAGAATGTTAATTTAAATAAAACTAAAAAATGTGTTTTTCCAAGATGGGACAACAGAATCAGACTTTCCTTTTAGTCTGATTTCATATTCGGTTTTTTTAAGTATATATTGAAGTGTAAAAATACATTCCACCACTTAATAATGATACAAAGAACTTTATTGGAGATTAAGAAACGGATCAATTTGGGGCACCGGCAAGTAGCAAAACATTTATGACCACTAGAGGGCACGCTTGCGCTATTTTTGTAATTTAAACAACACTGGTTGAGCCCGGATGTCTATCAACAGACACAGATTTAGCAATCCGTTTTACTTAAAAATCAGCCTCTTCTTCCCGAGTGTAGTACTATGTTACGATATTGATACCCGAACAACTAGAGTTCTGTGAATCTTTTCAAAGTTACTGTCATATTGTAGAAGCATTTCCATAGCGGGAAAAAACAAGCACTGCCTCAACGCCAGTTATATTTTATTCGTCACTCCTACTATCAAAATGGATTTATTACATAAGCAGTCTTTTGGCAAGGTCAAATGTACTTCTAAAAATATTTACTTACATCTTCTTACGCTAGATAATTATTAAGACAGATATTTTCTCCTGTTAAAATTAAGTGAGGTGAGTGCGAATTGCTGGATCAGTAGACGATGAATTTATATTTCACGTCTAATTTCCTCGCAAAGAAAGCAGGATTTTCATCTACAACTTCTTCGATACTTTGTGTTTTGCAAGTAGACGTAAAATTGCATTGCCATTTCATAGGATTTTAGAACTTGCTTTTGGTGTTTACTAACTACAGAGTTATTTACGTTAGTTAGTCAATTAAATTTATAAGAGAGCCTTAACGCACTCGTCCTATTTTGTCACACTGTTAACGAATATATAAACACACCATTTCCTTGGCGACAGCTGTAATAAACGGACTTCCAAATATTCCGGAAGTTCATGTACTGGAAAAAAGTTCCAGTCATTTTAATAGTCCACATCTGTAAAAGACTACGTAAATGAGGTTAAACGTGTGTCGCAGACACGTCCTCTTTCAATAAATTAGCCCGTTTTTCTCGCATGTCTGCTCATATAAGGGATACAAATAACCAAAATGCCAAACTGCATCCATGAAATACTGATTCGTTTTTATGATGAAAACAATATTTTAATGTTCCGGACATATTCGCATTTTAAGTAAAGATGGACTTGACTATACATTACCATTAATACATTTGCATTATTATAATACTAAGAGAATAAAAATATCCGCGTACATTTTCGGACACATCTTTCACAGGCAGCAGTTCCACGTTGACGGGGAAAACGTCACAGCGAATTTAGACAGACAATATTACTTTGTAAAACAAGCGGAAAAGATTTCATAAAAAGTAGTTAGCAAAGCAGATTAAAATCTTTGATCACAAACCCCCTTCAATTCCCGGCTAATCGCTCCTAAGTGAGTTTTAATTGACTGATTAAGATGGTATCTCCCCGCGTGGCGCTGTGTGTGGGATTAGGAGGGTGAACAACCCTGACCGCCAGGTCTTCAACGCCGCTCTAAAGCGTCGGGATGCAGGACGGATTTCTTACAGAGAGAGGGTAGAAACCACTATAGCACATACTGTACATACTCGTGAAATCCTGGGAGATGCTTGAAATTGTATTTGTGCGGCCTCCAATGTATATGTGTATAGCATCGGTGAACAAAACGATCCCAAACAATCCAGTGTTCAAAATATAAAGTTAGCAAATTTCTATTTTTTATCAGGATTTTATTTATTTTATTCTTATTGATGATGTACTTGTGTTGGGGCAATGGTTATGTGTTAAAAAGGGGAACGCAATGGCCCATAATACACCGATACAGAAATAAAAGCAAGTCCCTGGAGTCCTTCCGAATAAGCAACAGATGAAAAGTAAATAAAAAGTCATTCAGTTGTAAATGCCGGTAACACCATCAGCTTTACGGTGACAGAGACCCAATACTGCTGGAATCAAGTACTTTTAAATAATTTGCAACAATGTTTCAGGTACAGTATAGTACAGCAGCTGCGTAGAGAGTTGGTCAAAGGCATTTTAAAAGACTTAGGGGTTTATTTAATTTGTATTCGTTCGTTTGCTTATTCGTTAGTTTATTACATTTGTAAAAAAATAATTATTTAAAAACGTGGAGTATACAATACATAAAAGTTTTAATTTCTCCGACTCCTACCTCTTTCTCTCTACGGTTGGAAAAACCCATTGTGTGTTGACGGAGGGGTGAGTGGCACATACCATTCTGCAGCCCATTCAGCCCAGCTCAATGAACAGTCGTTGTTTTCATTCTCCTTTCTCGTGTGGAGGGGGTCTGGGTTACGTACAGGGAATTCAAAAAAGAAGGATTTGGGAGGAAATACTGGAGAAACTGGAGTTGTTTTGGAACATTTATTGAACAACTGGAATATTTATGAAACTATGAATGTACAAAGCTGATGCGTGGAAAAAAGTCTGCTACTCCTGAACTAAAACCCCGAAAACTTATCGTGGTCACAAGGAGAAAAGTCATAATGAAATGATGTGATTAGGCGTATAGATGTGCATGATCGGAAAGGATATTAGCGTTTTAAAAAAAGTTAACAGTGGAGATTTGTGCTGCACTTTGGGAATAGGGTCATTATAAGGACTTTTTATTTTTTCTGCTGGAACTTAGAAGCGCATAACATAAGTGTTTTGAAATGAGAGCATGAAAAAGTTGGGACGATGGTCAAAGAGTGCGAACCGCTGTGAAGGGAAGAAAACTTTTGGTCTTTCATTGAAGGCTGAATTCAAATTCAGAATATCTTAAACTTCCGAGACAGACTACTGACTTTTAGTTTACTGTGAGTTTATTTTCAGTATTTTAAGCATTACTTGCATACTAAAAACAACACTTTTTTGTCGCAGCATCTTACAAATAGATGTCAAGACACTAGCCTTTGAATAGGCTACAACTGCAGGGGAGCTGCAGTGAATTTAAACTCACTTGTTCAAAGAAAAAGGAACACTTTTTCCATTCAGTTACAATCACCCGCGTTGGAAATTGTGAAAACCACAAGTCCGACTTGATTTATTTAATATTTCTTTAAAGAATACTGTTGGAAAAGGAGCACATGTTCCATCTGTTTGGAAATCCTAAAACGGGATTATGAATTGTCAGACATCACTTTATTTGCACTGTTAATTGTGGATTACACAGCAATTTCCCCGTATATGAACCCATTGGAATGATGTCTTCAGGTTTTGTGGGAATTTACCTACTACTGGGATTTCTACATATATGCCCAGGTAATGATGCCTATTTTCTCGTTAAAAAGTTTCCAACTCATTGACAGCATTTTTGAGTGCCGCGCGACTAGCTCTTCAGGTGTAGGGAAACACTTTCGCTCAATAGTTACAGAATTTACGCGAGCACAATTTTTTCTTTGCCGGTTTCTTACAGTGGAGATGTTTTGTATCATGAAATTATCACCAATAGCACAAATCCGAAGTAGCACAATGTTTTAAAATTCAGTCGTTTGACTGCCACTTTCCAAGTTTTTGTTTGAAATGTAACAAACGCCCATGTATTTCTAAAGAGCGAAGAGGGTTGTTTGATGTACTGTATATGGATGTAGATGGCAATCTGTAGTAATTTAATGGCAAAAATCGTTACTTTTGTCTTCCCGGATAATTAGCGATATTTTGTAAAACCTCCAGATTAAAGGTTGACTCGAAATCGACTTTATCGTAGGACAAAAGCGCGATGCGGTTGTAATTAGGATTATGGGTTTAAATGAACAGCTCTTTATATTACAGTATGTTAGCTGTTAAGTGTAATTAAACTGTTGAGACAAAGTGGGAACAAAACGACTGTTTTTTCTCCTGCAGGATAAAGGAAAATTCTTATGTTGTTATGGGTGAAGGGCCAGCGCTACTTAAAAGCAATGACCTAATTTTTGCAAGGTCATTATATTTCGGAATTTTGGTTGATTTGTAGCATCTGTGTTTTTCATGTAGAAATGTGTAGAGTAGGAGGTATGAAGTTTAAAAAAACGTCTTCACAAATAACACGATTGGATTTTGTTTCTAATTACCTCGTTGTTTTAACAACTGATTATGGTGCTTTAGCTATTTCGAAATAACTTTAATTTGCGTACTTATAATTAACGTATATAATAATTTTGATGGAAAAATTTAAATACCAAATGGCCAAGCGAGTTTAAAACTAAGTTGTTTTAAACTTATTTAGTCGGTAATGTGATGATGGGGGTGATCAAAACCACAGAAAACGGAGCAGTTAACTAATTTAAAGTTATTTGTGTCTACTTATTTGCTCTACTTTGCTATTGATATTGCTTTTGTTCTGCAACGCCGCTTTAGAGTGCGAGTAATACAGTAGAAATTGGATACAAATCCGTGCATTTGTTATTTTATGTGGCGTTAAGCATATAAAGTAAGCGAAAGCTCGATGGCGATATAAAATCGTCTAATACTTTAGACCACAAAATATGTGGAAAACAGCAGTATAATCTAAAATAGTTTGACTGCTTCATACCGGTAGAAATGCTTTTACAGTACATATTGTAAATCTGGCAAATCTGTCATTTTAAATCGTTTTTAACAAAAATGTATTTATTTTTCGCCAAACGCGTACACAGGTCTACAGCATCATGATGTTTTTGAAAGCTTCTTCTGTGAATTTCAGTATGGTAGCTTGTCTTCTGTTGCATAGATACAGAAGTGCGATTTTTAATGTCGCGTAATGTCGTTCTGCGGGGAATTTACTCGTTGCCATGGAAGTGTCAGATGTATAGAGGTACCTTGTCCCTGAATTCATTCATGTCTTGAATTAAGAGACAGGGTTTTATGTTTTTTTTATTTACAGGTAACTATATTTAAATAAGCTTTCGTTTAAGAAGGGTGTCGAAATATTACGATCAAAAATAAATGTAAGTAATCTATTTGCAAAGCGACCAAGTCTACTGAGAGAATGTTTCGTCATATCCCCTAAAAAAATCGAATGCTGCACCTCTTTCAGCAGTGCTAAGGGCTTTTTTTAATCACATGGTACAATTCAGTTGAAATTTATTTGAAATGATGTGTTCACCTGATAGGTTCTGCTGAGTTTTACTTTTATATAGCAGTACTCCGACTTCAGGGACGGTGTGCACTAGAGCCTATGGCTTAATATGTGTTTTAGAATATGGTCTATCCAGTAAAAGGCCATTCCTATCAGATCATATAGTGCTGTCATCTAGCTTTTACTGTTTAGGTGGGCATGATAGTAGAAGAGTTTTTTTTTTCTTAAGTCCAAAAAACACACATTCATGTTAGTATGCCCTTTCTTGAGATTTCCTATCAGGAATGCAAGACTAGCCTTAGGGCTTAGGTCAGATGAGTACTTTTAAAAAGACAGCTAGGATGAGTCTTTCCTCTTTGTAATAGGACAAATCTGTGGGCTAATTGAGCAAAGAAGAATGTCACATTTGAGTTTGCTCAGGTGAAGAGATGTATATCAGCTTTACTATCAGAACAGCTAACAGCACTGGTGGGCCAATGGTGGACCATGTGTTATCAGGACCCTTAAAGAGAGAACAAACACAGGGTGCACATGAGGGGCACAAAACTTCAGTGAGATTCTGAGGCATTCTGGGGTAGCCCCTGTGTGTGCATGTTCATTCTGGTGCTTGGGAGGTGTCAGTAGGATAATGTATTCTGGAAGAGGAGATTACTAAAGAGATACAAGGATTACTGGTCATTACCTGGTGTTTGAGTTGGGGTTTGGGGCTTTGATTTCTTATCATGTCTTTAGATTACAGCATGACTGGTATAAATAGATTGCTTTCAGGTGTCTGCAGTTGATTGATTTTTTTCATTCAGGATTGCACTTGGAACTTTTTCACATTTACTTCTCTTTTTTCCCTTTAGCTCCTAATTCTGTAAACAGTAAACAGACAAAATGTCAGCCATTATACACATAGTGGGGGTATAGTCTTTTGTTTAGGATTTTTTCCATGTATTTTATTTTAGCCAGTGACTTTTTATTTTAAATTGTTTAAATACTTTTCAGTAATATTAATAAAATGCCATTGAAATTAAATGTACCAGCATTCTAATAACAACCACAGTATCCACCAAGACACCTTGGTCTCCCACTGTGCAAATAAATTCACCCCACAGGGCAGATATTTAACATTATTTGTACTGTTAACTTCCAATGTTAAATAAACTGTTAAAGAAAATCTTTGCAGAAGAGAACTTGCATATCCTGTAACTGCATGGAAAACAAGGCTGTAAATCCAGGCAGTAAACTATGAAACTGAAGTATGTTTTGACCCCATAAAGAGCCTGTGGTCTCCACTCGTATCATGTTAAAGGCGAATGTATTTGTGAGGAGAGAATGTTTAGAACAGGAATGTTATTGATTGGCAAAAGTGCAGTGAGCCCAAATGAGCAATTAAGTGACGTTACTGGGAGACACCTGGCTGCTACATGAATGAGCTGTTTGAAGGGTAGAATTTCATGGGTAGCCTGCAGCTGTAGAGCACTGTTTCTTCTTCCTGTCATTCCACCAGTATGGTCTCTAGATATATATCTCTGCTGGGAGACGTGAGATAATTTAGTCTGTGGTGGAGGGAGGACCCTTTGGTTTAGTGGAAACTAGCCCTTTAGACTAGGCCTTTGTGACATTTAATATGTCATAAGTTTTAGTGTCTTTCAATTAGCATACATTCTTTGGACTCCATTGCTCAATTTCTTAGACTAGATTGTACAACAAGCGAATTTATACATGTATATACAGTATACAGTGTGGTGAAAAAGTCCACCACCTTAGTCCAAAAGATTTTAATAATAATAATAATTGCTTACACTTATATAGCGCTTTTTCTGGACATTCCACTCAAAGCGCTTTACAGGTAATGGGGACTCCCCTCCACCACCACCAATGTGTAGCATCCACCTGGATGATGCGACGGCAGCCATAGTGCGCCAGAACGCTCACCACACATCAGCAACATTTAAGATTTTATGGTTTACCGATTTAGACACCTAGACCTTATCAAGTCCTAGTAGCAGATAAACGTAACCTCAGTTGACAAATAACACACAGAATTTCTACTTTGTCATCATTCATTTTAACAAATCAGACAGAAATCAGTATCTTTGTGTGGAAAAAGTATGTATGTGCATCCCTTATTCAGTAATGTATGACACCCCCGTTTGGCAGCAGTAACTTGAATTTAATGTTTCCTGTAAAAGTTAATCAGTCTCTCACATCACCTGGGCCCATTCTTCTTTACAGAATTGCTTGAAATCTGTGATGTTTGATGGCTTCCCTGTATGAACAGCTCTCTTTATATCCCAACAGCATTTCTATTGGGTTTAGGTTTGGATTTTGACTTGGTCATTCCAAAATCCTGACATTTTCTTTTTGAACCATTCTGTGGTAGATTTGCTTGTTTGTTTTGGATCATTGTCCAGTTGTATGATTTTTGTTTGGTTCAGCTTCAGCTGTCAGACAGATGGTCTCATTTTTCTCTCTCGAAATGTATGAAATAGTATGAAATTCATGGTAGATTCAATGATAGCAAAGAAAGGCCAAACAATCACCCCCCTATACCCCTATACCATTTTTCTGGTCAGAGATGGTGTTTTGTTTTCACCAAACGTGTGTTTTGAATTATGGCCAAACAGCTCCTCTTTTGACTAGTCTGTCCAGGGCACATTGTTCTTGAAGTCTTGTTTTTTATCCAAGTGCTTTTTTGCAAACTTAAACCATGCAACAGTGTTCTTTATGCAGGTCAGATTTTGAAGAAAAGATGGAAGAACGACCAAGTAGGATTGACAGTGGTCTTGAATTTATTCAATTTGTAGATTATCTTTCTTGCAGCAGAATAATGGACTTAATGTTCTTTGGAAATGGTTTCTGATTTTATATAATGGTGGAATCACTTCCTGACAATCATTTGCATGTTCTGGTGCTTTAATTGTTCACACAAAGGTACTGGTCTTTGAATGCTGGCTGATTTTTTTAAATAAAATATTTGTCAAATGAGTTTTATTTTATCCATTATGAGGACTTGGTGAGGGCTAGGTGAAAGTCAAATCTCTTAATACGTTAAATCATAAAATCCTAAGGGGTTGCACTTGTTCACCACACTGTAGATGTGGCTATAGATAAACACTCTATATTAATAGTGGGCAAATGGACACAGATTGAGATGATTAAACTATCCATTCATGATTTCTGTCATAGATTTCTGTATAAGACTTGCTCATTCTTTTTCAGTGGTACAGTCTGTAGC